AATCCTCACGCTGCCCATTTTTCCTGCTTCTAACACATCAACTTTGAGGACAAAATGTTCACTTGCTGCCTAATATATCCCACCCACTGACAGGTGCCATGATAACCAGATAATCAGTGTTATTCACTTCACCCTTCAGTGGTCATAATGTTATAGCTGATTGGTGTGAGAAACATTATGAACAATAGTTTAGGTTTGTTTTTAATAAAAGGGTAGTTTGTTAATCTTTAAAAATGTCTTTCAGATTGTCTATGTTAACATACTTTTTTATATCATGTGTCTGTATTTAAACTATGCATTTATTTTACTTGCAGCCATTATGTTTTATTTCTTTATGGTGTATCATAAGGTTCCCACCTGTAGTCCAAAGACCCATAATACAAGACTAGCATGTTCATAAATTATCTTACCACTTCAACTGACTGCTTTTAACAGTTATCTCAGCCCATGATGATTCCTGCAGAAGTAGTATGTCATATCTTTTAGGATTTTATATTATTTATGACTGTGTATTCTATCTGCTAGCACTCTCTGAGGTTTATGAAATGAAAAGGCTGTTAACCTACAGTATACTCCACATGGAGAGATTAAAGGAGTGACCTAGTTTTAGAGTGGACCTGGACTAAAAGCGAACCTCTGCCCTTGGCAAACCACACTAGAGATTATTAATAATAATCCAAAATGGTAAAGCTGAATTGGGTATCTTGACAACAGGTGCTCTAACAGACAGAGTGATCCTGTGTTGACACAAGTACTGTGGGCTACAAATGATTCAAAGTTTCCCTTTCTATTTTTGACCTAGTAAATCAAAAGTGAGCACAGGAAGAAAAAAGGATTTACCAAGGAAGTATTTTGTTCTGATCGCTCCAAAAATAAATATTTGGAATGAAACATTTTACCAATACTCTGCAAACAGCTGGAGAATACATTGTCAGGAAATGGAAATATAAGACTGATATAATGATACTTTTGATATGGGTGTATTTTTGGAATACTTGGGATTCTTGTAATCCAAAATGTTCTTGATGTCTTAGTGATAAACTGTTATTTGGTAGTCAACATGTTCATTTGACATGGACCCTCACGTTTCAGAGACATGTACAGGACTGGAGCCAAACTAATTTTGCAGCTTTCTCTGTCAACATCGCTTTTTGATAAGTGGCCAAAAAACGTGCTCTAAACTTCAATGACATAATGTAATCATACACAGTAAACCCAACGGTTGCTGAGGAAAACATTTTCTCATATAATTACACATCATTTGAAGATAAAATATATTTTAAGGCTTTAACTATTATTTTGTTATGATAAATGAACTGACCAAATATGGTCCAAAATAGTTTTTTTGTTTGTTTTTCCTTTAGTTTAATCACATTTATTTTTACTAACTTTTTTATTTATTTTTTTATAATGTACAATCCCATATTTATTGAAGGCTTTTTATTATTAACCATCCCAATAAGTACCTGATAATTGGTCTGATGGAGGTAGACACTGAAATAAAAAAGAAGATGGGATAATGACAAAGCAAACTTAAAAAGAAAAGATAATGAAATACTGAGATTAAAAAATAAAAGAAGTGAAATAATACAACTAATGCCGCAGGTCTAAAGCACAAGTCCATGGTTAATCCAGTCTGAGATCTTCTTGAAATGTGTTCCATATATTTACAGCAGCTAAAAGCAGGCTAACCATGTTCAGATTTAATTCTAGGAACAAAAAGCATACAGGTGCCGGTTGATCTGAGACGTCGAGCTGGTTGATGTTGTTGCAAAACATCCTTGATGTCTTTTTTCCTCCCACAGAAAGATGACCTGTGCTCTTTATTTATGATTGTCTCATGATGTAGAAAAGAGAAAACCTATTAGTATCTACTATGTTTCATCCTCTGCCTCTTGATTCCTTGAATTGTGTTTGTTTTCATGTGGATGCTAAATCCTTTAAGGGTGATATCCTTTTAAAGCAGGACCATGACTGAAGTGGCCGATCTGGTCAAGGCACAGCATGATTTGAGACATTGCACAGTCATGTCTCTGGCTGATTTATAGTGATACAAACATACACTGAGCCTATTTGGACAGTAGGTTTGGCCTTGTTTATTGATGACAGTAATCCAAATGAAATGATGCACATGCAACAGCAAGCTGAAGTGATAAGCATCTTCCTGAAATTTCCCTGTGGGCAGCCTAATGGCTCTGTCCCGAACAAGAACAAAGAGGTCAGCATGTGCCACTGTGATTGAAGGCACAGGATTAGAAACTAAGAAGATGACTACAGATGAGCAGTGAGCTTTTATCCATATGATTTTTTTATACAGTGATCATTGCGTAGACACTTGCGCGTATAAGCTTCAGTGACAGGTTTTTATTATAGAATGCATGCACTGACACACATCTGAAGGTTTAACCATTTAAAACAAAGGTTCGCTATGACAGCTGATGACACATCATCTGTTTTTGAACTCACGCTATGTTGCACACAACATGCCCCCTAGTCGACTCTATGGTTGCTTCTAGCAACATTATGTGTGTAATTGTGCTTTACATTTATGTCTGATGGAGACTGTGACCACAGACAGGCTCTGTGCATTACAAGATGAGGAGAGATTAGAGCACAGTGGGTTAATCTTTAGGCCAGCCATCTGCCAGGACCATGAGAATTAAAGGTGGAGCCACGGCCTTGACCAACAACATACAAAAGTAACCTGTCAGGTGATCTTTTCCACTGAGTATGTGGCCATTGTGTTAAAGTTATGCTTCAAAGTGCATAAAAATTATTGATGTGCCTATGAATACATGCCTTCTGGACAAAGGTTTCATTGTACATGCAGGGAATTTGTCTGCTGCAAGAGGTCACTGAACTTAAATCATACACTGGTGTTCCTAAAACTGAGTTAGTCTGTCTGTCTGTCTGTATGTGTGTGTGTGTGTGTGGGCCAACTTACAGTTTTCTAAAAGCAAAATTCATGCACCAAGCAGCCACTGAGCTCATGCAATATACTGTACACTCTACTAGAACCACTCAGATTATAAAGTAGATTTAATTTCAGTATGAGAATGGACTGTAAAAGGTTTACTCATGTGTGTAAATCCCCTTGCATGCAACATGTATTAATGGTTTGCGTAGGCATATAATTGTTTTGTTTGTGTACATGACATATTATTATTTCAACAGGAATGGCAAAATATTCCAGCTATAATGATTTTTTACAGCATCTGTGTCCTGTGTAGTACTAGATATTTAAAATACTGTAGGTAGTAACACATTATTTTGGATGTAATAACTGTATGTTTAAGAGGCAAAGAAAGAGGATAACTGGCTCATTTAAGACACTTTAAATGTATTCACCAATTATTTTGTGTGGAGTAATGAAAAGCATTTTAAAAATGTAACTTATAAATTTGAAGACAGAGTAATCTATCGATTGGTTGGTGTTTGTAGAAAGATCATTCTAGTAAAATAGAGACCCACTGGGTTAATATTATATAACATTTGTTTACAAGAGTTTAACTGTGGGTGGTAAATAAGATTATCAGACAAGAAGATTAGCCAGCCTCTGTGCCCAAAATACCATTCAAAAACTCCCAGAAAGACATTAAGTTAATCAGTGGGGTTTTTAATTGAAGATACACTACACATAGTTGACACAAGAAATATACAACCCAACAAAAAACATTGCATGTAAAATAAAACCCTGAGTCATCGTGCCTTGTTTGTCATTATCATATATTTAGAACTCATGTCATCAGTCCACAGATTAATTTCATGATTTGTACTATAACATCCATCAGGAGCTATAATCTCAGCAGATCATTCACTGCTGTCATCTACATCATCCTCTGTTTTATGATTATCCTATTAATTGAGTAAATAGTGGAGTTTCTTTTTCTTCCAACAGATGGTTGTTGAGTGCATAGCAGATGGCACTGTATACAATATGGGTAAAACACTGACCAATATCATGGTATAGATTCTGCATTGTTCTAATCCCACATCAGAGCTAGTCACAGCACTTTATGTAGAAGTTATGTTTAAAACAGAATTCTCATTTATAAAGGAGTAACGCACTTTCTATTAGTTACAATTCGATATAGACTGTGCAGCTGTTAACACATAACATAATCCAAATGTTAACACAAGCAAAATATTAAACAGTTAAATTACAGTTTCACATTTATTTTATTTTATTTTATTATTATTTAAGTTTATATCCTGATAGATGTGAGGTTTTTAAGTATTCATTGCAAAAAAAAGAACAGTATTGAAACACTAACTGAAAAGTATAATTTGACATTTGGAAAGATATTTTTACAGTTTAGCTTTCATACCTTTAGACAATTCTGTCTATTTAGACATGATAAGAAAATTGCATATTTATGTATTAGTTGTGGTATAGCTAAATGAAAGCTGTTCATAAAAAACAACAATGTATACCTGTCCATCATCTGCAAAGCAGCGGTATATCCTTGTTTTGTTTGCCCTGCAGACAGAGCAATCTCATGTGAAGTGGTGGTTGAAGAATCACAGTTGGACTGAAGGGCCCCTAACTCTTAAGATGTGTCATTGGATTAGCATGTGAGCATCTGCCTTTAGCCTTCTCCAGTCGCCCACGAACACCCTGAGAGCTGCATCTCATGTACAGGACTTTCGACGGAGCCGTCTTCATGGTGCGATTTCATGACTTGATTTTTTAGGATGAAGAATGTAAAGATATTACATTTGCCACTGGTTTTTGTGTTTGTGCATGCCTGCTTTGGTAAGTTTCACCTCTTAATTCTCTGCTTACAGTGCTTAAGTGTTCCTGTGGTCAGATGGTGAACGCTGTTCAGATACATTTGAGAGCTTCTGGGTTGATGACTGTAAATGTTTCTGAGTTTATAACTGGATTGTATTCTGTTTTTAATTCAATAATATTCTGTCCTAACCTGGTTATTTGCTATTAGAGATATGAAAATATGATTTTGGTTTTGGTATTTAAAAACAGAGTATTCCAATGACAAATAAAAACAGCATTATGTCTACAACCAGAAATCTCAGGTCTATGTATAGCAAAGGTATCTTAGCGAGTTCACGTAACTCACCAGTAATCCCAGTCAAAGTGACCGAGAAAGCAGGGGGCGTAAGTGTAGTAAATGCTTAAACATAGTGTAATAGTAGCAGAAGAAGAGCAGAAACTGATTCAGTAATGTAACATACATTACAGCTATATCTAGCATAAGTTAGCTAACATTAGCAAACATTAGCCACCATAAGCTACTGGTCATACCAGACCAATTAGGGCTGTTGCAGCAAAACCATTGAGTGTACTAAACTGATTAAGGGTGTCTTATTTCTTCTTTCCGAAGTTACACAGTTTCACAGTTTCACTTTAAGCTGAATAACATCAAACTTTCAAGCATTTAATGGTGGTTTTTATGCCTCTGTCCTCAGCGCAAGCAGACTTTGCCCCATATTTCTACGACAATGGACCTTACAGCCAAAATGGGAACCTGGCACTGTTCAGCCTTTCAGAGGACACGGCTGTCGGTGAGCTCAACCTCTGACATACAGGACATTTAGTGTGGACAGCTAATAGTCTGGTGGAGCAACCAATCAACAAAATTGAATGTTTTGTCCAGGATGTTAAATAGACTTTGATAGATGAACAGATGTTGTGTGGCATGTTAGTACTCCCACTAACATGCTCATCTGATGGTGCCACCTGTTGATGTGAGGGACAGTTTGCTGGCTGTGAATGTGGTGCAGCTGTCCCTCAACACCTTCCATCAGTCAGGGTACTTATAAGTCTACTGTGTCTCAGTCATTTTTGTTCCACAGCAGTTTTTCCCCAAACAATGGGTGAACTGCCCTCCTTGATTACTTATTAGAAGCTGCTTCATCTTGTATTTGGAACCAGTTTTATAAAGTGTTCTTTTAACCTTTAATTTCTAATTTGGAAAAGGATTGTATATAAAAATGTTTTGTCTAAAATGTAGGTTTCCACTTTTCCAAATATGTCTAACCAGCCAACTGCTGAGGCTAAGTTAACTAAATTAAAATGTTTTCGTTTAGGTACACAGATCTATAGTCTCAATGGCACAGACCCTGAAGGTCAGGAGGTGAGGTATGGCCTTTCCTTTGATCCAGGATCCCAGGAATACTTCAGGGTCGACCCCATATCTGGAAACATCACATTGGTGGAAAAGTTGGACAGAGAGGTAAACTTAACCTTGCATAGGCCTCAGAAGGACATTAGGGTAGAGGAATGGTCAATTTAGCTAACAATTAAAGAACTTTTTTTCATTGTGTATTTCTTCATATTAACTTGTTTTCCATCTCTGCTCAGAAACAAGATTCTATTGACGTTCTTGTCAGCATCACAGATGGGCAAAGCAAGGTATCAACATCCAGTTCAGTGTGTGATTATACCATTTAATTCCTTATAATGAATCATGAATGTGTTAAACACTTCTTCTTCTTCTACTTCTTCTTCTTAGGTTGTGGAAAGAGTCACAATATTTGTAATGGATGCAAATGATGAAAAACCTGAATTCCAAAACATGCCGGCAATCATTGATGTACTGGAAGTAAGTTAAGCCATAAGCATATGCTTTATGAACCATAAAAACCTTGAAAATTTAAATCAAAATCTAAGTGTCAGTATCTCCATATAAACTTAAAAAGGACAGCATATTACTGTAAAAATATGAAAGTTAATATGTGTTGTATCATTTATTTTTGAGCTCTATATGTTGTGACCTGAATTTTTTTCTGTGTTGCTCATTTTAGACTACTGTGTCTGGCAGCAGCATCTACAAAGCCAATGCAGTGGATAAGGACACAGGCTCAGGTGGCTCAGTCACCTACTACCTCCAGGTATCACTTGGCAGTAGAACAATACTGCCCACTCACATTTCATCTACTCTAACTTCTGCAATAAATGAATACAGTATATAAATAAAAAAATATATATACAGACGAAACATTTAAAAATGCTCTAAAGCTGACCCGTTCATGTTAATCTGCATCTGATGGAATTAATGTAAAATGTCCTGATAACGAGGTTAACATCAGTTAGATTTTCCAATGCTCCTGTGTGTATTTGTGCATGTGCATGAATATGCTTGTGTGGTTATGAGAATGGGGATTAAATCACAATTACATTTGTGTCAGGTATTGGAGGCTTAGAGGGCTGCTTTGGCAGGGGCTGGCAGGGAATGTTAGTTTGCACTTTGGACTATTAGGACCAAAGAACAGTTGGCGTGGAGTTACGAGTGAGGCAGTGCACATCTGGACACACCAGCTTTCACCTGCCTGCGCTGTCCTTGAGCATATGGGCTCTTTACATCCAGATGGACAAATAAATATACTTCAACAAGATGTGGCCTAATTCAAGTGGCTACTGAGTGTTTTCATGCAGCCATCTGACCACTTTTCATGATATGTCACGTGAGTGGTTGTAAATGGGTTTTCAGTGACAGGCTTTGATTCATGTGACCTAAAATGTGTCTCTGAGTGTGCTTTTAAAATCCTGCTTCTGTCCTGTCCTCTGTTACAGAATCCTCAGGCCACTTTATTTGCCATTGACAGACATAGTGGTGTCCTTCGTATCAAATCTGGGGAAATGTTGGACTATGAGAAAACAAAGACACTCTTTGTCACTGTCATTGCAAAGGTAATGGGTATATCAAAACTCATTAAATGTTTTTGTCATCCAATAATTTACTTTCATTTTCAGTTTAAAGGTACCTTGTGAAGTTGCTAGTGCAACATAAATTTGTTAGTTTACTAACTTCACAGGGCGCCTAAAATAAACCCTGTATATGAAAAAGATCCCTCCTTTAAAATGTGAGCCAACTTATAGAGAAAAACTGTCTTTTTAAAATGTAAGTGTGTATTACTTTTTTTGCAGGATGGTGGTGGTAATTTGAATGGCAAAGAGCAGTTTATGTCATCTTCTGCTACCCTGACAATCAATGTGATCGATGCACAGGACACCCCGCCATCTTTTATTGGGACACCATATTTTGCCTATGTTTATGAAGTCTCAGTGCCAGTAAGTATGAAAATATCCTTTAGCAACATTCTGCTTCGACTGCATTTGACATGACATTTCTTTTGTATAACAATAAAGTTACAATGCTGTATTACGTTAATGAACATCACATGGTAACCTAATAGTAAATGCAGGTCATTTTCTATACTCACAGTATAAGTAATAACCATGAAAAGATAAGATAGCAGTATCTCATATCACACAGCTTTGATTTCTGGCATTTTACAGGAATGCCTTCTCACAGCAGGAAAGCCACATTATCTATGAGTCGCAAAATGTCACTGTAGTAGCGCATCAGAGGAGAGAGATTACACATTCTCACTTTCATCCAAAAGGGAATAATTAGGACAATGACATTTTAATGCACCTTTGAAGACTTGGTGGAGATAGATTTTTGTGGTATTTGACTGCAGGGTGACTTAATTAAGATTCCTGCTTCATTTTGTAAAATTTTAACATATCATCAGTTTTTTTAACAATGTGATGCAACCAAATACTGAGTTACATCATGTGAGAAGTGACATTTTAGAGTTGTTTATTGGCAGAACAAATAAGGTCTTTAAATTTAAAAGTATCAGTAACTGGCGAAATATGAATAACTTGTGGTAATAACAGGTAATATATCCTGGTTAATCACTTATACATCCAATTATCAATCTTGTTGCACTATTAAATCCCTTTTCTTTTCTTTTCTTGCCTGACAGGGATCTGAAATATTCACTGTTGTAGCCAAAGATGGTGATGTGGGAAACCCAAATCCAATCCATTATTCATTTGACGATGGTAAGCATTTTGCACAAAGAAAATTAAAATGATTTTAAAATAAAGCTAAAATGCTCATAGGTCTGTCTGTTGCTTTTCTTTCCAGGCGACGATGGTGTTTTTCACGTCAATAAAACAAGCGGTTGTATCACCCTGCTGAGTCTCCCCATGTATCTGAAGAGAGAAATCTTTAACATTAAAGTCAGGGTAAGTTGCAATGGAATAATTCATTCTGTTAACTGTAAAAAAGGGGGCCAGACTTACATGCTCTTCAGCATCACTGTCACAAGTCACACCACGTTTCCAATCAAAGCCTGAATTTTGCCTGTATGAAAGAATGTACAGCTATAAACATTTTATAGCCTTTAATCATTGTATATTCATAAAGGGAATAAACAATGGATCAAACAATCATGTAAAGCAAAATAGATTTTATTAAATAACCTATTATATACTGCCTGAACTTTTTTAACTGGTTAAAATTAAAAAAGTAAAACTGATCTGGTGAAACTTGGGTAAAATTTCCTTCAGGGTCATCTACTGTTCACAGAAGTGATAAATGTGGGCTAATATATTTTCCCACCTGTGTCCAGGCATCAGAAGTAAGTCCAGAAGGCAGACTCATGGACTATGGGGTGACCACAGTGGTGATCCGTGTGGTGGACCTGAACAATAATCCACCTACTTTCTATGGAGAGAACGGCCCACAAAACATGTTTGAGTTGACCATGTATGAGCATCCACCAGAGGGAGAGATACTCCGGGGTCTAAAAATCACTGTCAATGACTCTGATCAGGTGGGGAGACCATTATTTTCTTCCATATTTTCTCATACACTGACTGTGATTAGCATGAAAATAATCCAGTAGCTATTTTCAGTGATGTTTTACTGAGCAGGTATCATCCTTTAGATAGAGTATTATTGCCATTGAAAGCTGCCTCAGTTAACCAGAAGAGAGGAACAGTGATTGTTATTATGTAATAACACTCATTTTCCAACCAAATTACATTGTTATCTAACAATTCATGTGACACAACATTGTGTTCAGGCTGGTGTCTGCCTTTCTGTCTACTAAATGAATTTAAGCCTGCTATTATCACAGACAATCCTTTTAAAATTACAACACAAATTAAAAGCTACTCCCTAACTATGGCATTTGTCAGCTTATGCAAGTCTCTGTGTGTTTCCAGCTCCTGGTATGAGCCTCATCCAAATGGCTGTCCAAATGTATTCTCTGATAATACTGTTACAACATCAGGACGAGCTCTCTTTGTCCAGAGATATGATGTTTCACCAAGAATATTACAGCTGCCAGTGATATCCTATTGATTTCTCATACATTACTGTAATAATGAAATACACAAAGCTTTTATATTGATTGAATGGACTATATACTACATGGATTATACTGTATGTCTGTAACAAATGCAGATTACTAGAAATAGGTCCATGCATGTATAACATAACAACTGTCATTTTCATTAATGAGACATTCTGAATCTGTAATATGATGATGAGGTTGTGCTCTTCCAGGGTGCAAATGCTAAATTCAATCTGAGACTGATCGGACCAGGGAGGATGCTAAGAGTCGTCCCTCAGACTGTTCTCAATGAAGCCCAAGTCACAATCTTAGTAGAAGACTCTGCTGCCATGGACTATGAGAAACACCATTTTCTTACATACAAGGTTACCACAGTAGATTGAAATGTGATTAAATTTCACACATATTTCTCAAGAAATAGTACCTGAATCTATTGCACATTGCCCTATTTCATTGATTTGTTTCAAATCTTTCTCCTCTTTAGCTACTCGCAGTTGAGATTGATACGCCTGAGAGATTCAGTTCCACGGCAGACATTGTCATTCACCTCCTGGACACCAATGACAACGCTCCCAAATTCTCCTCCGATTACTACATTGCCAGAATTCCAGAAAACTCACCCGGTGGCTCCAATGTGGTGTCAGTCACGGTGAGCGAGCCTTCATCCTGTCTAAAAATACATGCCATCACCAATGTACGTCACTCGGAACTAAAGAGGAATGCTGATTTGAACAAAATGGCCAAGAGGGCCATTAATTCCCTAAATGTAGACTTTTTGGGCGATGGGGGTTGGGATAATATGTGAAAACATGTAGATAAAAGCTAGGCGAGGTAAGCTGCCAGATGGCTATCACTTTCATTTTGTTGTGTAACACCAAATTCCCAGATTTCTTTCCCCTAATGCTTAGTAGCACATGCAGCTGCAGCACAAAAATATGTGCAAACATAACATGAACACTTTTAAGGCCATGTAGAAAGAAAGAAATGAAAGAAGAAGAATAGATAGGAAATAGATAATAGATAGATAATAGATAGATAGATAGATAAGATAATAGATTAAGATAGATAGATAGACTAGATAGATAATAGATAAGATAGATAGATAGATAGATTTTTTTGGGATTATCTCATCCTTCGCCCTTGTCGGTTCATATCAACACCCTGCAGAGGCTCAGAGCAACAGGGAGGCTCACTAATAAATCCTGCCCTTGCGTGAACACCACAGAGGCTCATTTCCTTTATCCCAGGCAATTTCAATCAGATAAAAGAACAGCCGACAAGTGACCTTGGACACATGGAGACAACGAACAGGCATCCCTGCAGCGACAGACAGATTAGCTGATGCCCATGATGATGATGTTCCTATGACATCAAAAGTCAGTCTTTTTATAGCTGACCCCTGTAACATCATGCTTCAATCCAGCACAGATTCATTCAGTTTACTGAGTCCATGGTGGCGTAGAGTTTTTCTCTTTTTCTCCTTCACTTGAAAGAGTTACAAACAAATCTAACCAATGTTTTGAAGTTTATCTGAGGTAGAAGGTAAAGGTAGGACACACACAGTGTTCACTAGTCTGACGATGAATGTTGCACTAAACTTCTTAAGAGGAACTGCAGATTACCCTGACTGTGATAGTTATCTTGAACTGGCCATGAAACCAAACTCACAACATATTTCTTTCTCCTTTCTGTTTGTTTACAGGCAACAGACCCAGACTCAGGGCCTTGGGGGGAAGTGAAGTACTCTATCTACGGATCAGGGGCTGACTTGTGAGTACAAGAATATAACTTAAGATGAGTTTTGTCGAGGGGAGAGGGTAAAACAGGAGGTGGCTCAGCACCAGCTTAAAATTCCTCTCATCCTTTATAGTTGTACACCTCCACACATTCAGTGACTGACATTATCTTATCACTGCTTGAACAGCATTATCTTATTATCTTATCTAAAATCTCAATGGCATGGGGTAAGATTATTTTATTATGGACAAGAAGAAGAAAGTACAGATACTGTCAGGCCACTCCTTCATTGGTCCTTGTGTAGTTCCAGCAAATGAGAATTAAAACATAAAAAATGCTTACACAACATTATAAGCAGTTTACTCCCTGAGTCAGCAGTATACATTCAGACCTCACGAAAGTGATCTGAATGTTGTATTTTAATTGTAAACTGGTGTACAATATGAAAACCACCTACAGGAAAAGCACATCTGCCTGAAAGCTGTACAAAAATATGACAGCAGACTTGTTTTTCATATTAGAACTTGGTACTGTGTATTGCACCTAAGCACTGTAGTCCCTCAGAGGATTTGATGGTATTTTCTCTGAAGTCAATTTTTATTAGATTTCCAGGAGAGGTCTAACCTCTGAGAAAAGGGCTCAGTGGTTACTGTTTTCTCTTAGTCATAATATACCCACAGCTTGTCGTTCATGAAGCATTTCATAGAGTCCATAAGATCACCTGGATGTTGTACAATGTTAGTGCCACATGTCAACACTGTGACAATCAATACTGCAACTGTTGAGAAATAGTTATTTCAATCACGTTTCTATCTGCATGCCTTAGAGGACCAAAACAATTACTATACTAATACTGAGAACAGTAAATCAAAGTAAACATGAACCTGTAACGTGTAGTGCCAACGTAAACAGACAGATGTATGTCAGTAAGGACATGTTGAATCTGAATCTGGACCTTTCAGTACAGATTCTGAGCTGTGTAGCGATTAATTAATGGTAAAAACCATTTGGAAACTGTGTCACCTTAGATTACTCCAAAATGCCTCTTTGAACTTGTTATAAAGCAATACATTTGTCGGTTCTGCATCTGCAAAAATCTAATATACCTTCACATTTTACACTCTTTTTTTTTAAGATATCTTGTAGAATACTTCAGCATACACAGGATCATGTATTCCTGATCTGTGCCTGCTCGTCCTGTGTCTGTTAATCCTATAATGGGATTGGAGGAGAAAATAGACTGCTCTTTGCTTCTGACTACCTAGCACCGTCACAAAGTCACTGTAGGGTAACTAAACCAGTCAGTCAGTGAAACAATCTATTTCTGATCTTGGTCTATATGTATACAGTTCAATCTTGCATGACTAAAGTTAACTGGAACAGGACAGTAAAGTGATATTTTAATAGTTCAACATTATGGGAATACACAGGAATTGACATTATGGGAATTTGTTTTCTTTTTAAGAGTTAGATGATAAGATCAACACTCCAATGTCTGTGTGTTTAGTATAGAGCTAGAGCCAGGAGGTGATTAGCATTGTGTAACATTGTTTGTTCACAGAAATAAAATGAAAATTTGTGGTTTTAAGAGTGACGTACTAAAAATATCTGAGGAACAACAGTTTACTATCGCTATACTTTGCTTCATCTTACGCTCAGAAAAAATATAAATGAACATATTTGCAAAAACGTTTGAGAACATTGCATAGCATACACATCTGGTTTGAGAAGTTCCTGTAATTTTTTTTTTACTTTTCAAACCCTGTAATGAACTTTCCAAAAAATTTTTCCCTTCCAACATATATAATATATTTGTACATATTGTATATCTACCATATGTTCAGCTTGAAAAAGCTAACTTTCTACACCTAATTGTCCTGTTGGATAGGTTAGGGTTATCAGTAGCCAAAATAATAATAAATCTAAAGCCCCAAACCCCCACTATGATTGAGAAAATATAGATGTGAGTGTGAGATGTTATCCATCTCTCTACAAAAGGGGTCTTGAGCAAAATGCTCACATCAGAAAATAGACAGTTCTTAGTAAGCCCATCCTAAGAAGATAATACATGTTTACACACAATAATACTAAATCTAAATCACCATTTACAGGTTCCTGATCCAGTCTGCATCTGGGATCATCTACACCCAGCCGTGGGCGAGCCTGGATGCGGAGGTGAGGTCCAAATATAACTTCTATGTGAAGGCAGAGGATGCAGAGGGAAAGTACAGCCTAGCTGAGGTCTTTGTGACTGTGCTGGACCTGAATGATCACCCGCCTGCATTCAATGACAACTTCCTCGAGACGACTATGGTGATTGGAGCACCAGTGAAAATAGAGGTATTTTCTCTATCATGATTTACCATGTTGATAAAATGAAACTTAACCATAACATCAGTACCATTACATTTTTAATTAAATACATCAACTTCTACACAGGCTGTAGACGATGATGCAGAAATACCCAACAATGTTATCGAGTACGCCATCATGAAAGCAGAGCCAGACAACAACATCTTTGACATTAACGCTGACACGGGGGAGATCATGCTCAAGTCCTACATCAAGTCAATGGCCATTATTCAGAACATCACCAAGCAGAGATACTGCACCTGGTCGTTGGTGGTGCAGGCCCGGGACCGAGGCCAGCCGTCCTTCAGCACCACTGCAGTCGTCAAGATCGACATTACTGAAGCTGTAAGTTGATAAATGAATGATTCATTTGACAGATTTTTACTTTACTTTAAATACATGAAAAAGTGTGCAAAGTTGCAACCAATAGTTTCTCAGGGTTTGATTGTGATACAAATGCCATCATCATTTAATATCTTATGCTGCTTGGATTTAGGTATACCTACAAGTTATGCATATTATATAGACTTTTTCACAATTCAGCTTTTTTATCCAATAAAGTCTAGTGTCAAATTTTTGAAAAATTTGATGCACTCAAGAGGGTAGTGATTTAAAAAGAATTTAATATCCCATGGCTATTTAGTCATATTATCTAAAAACATGCCTGGGCATTTCAGCCATTCAGGCCTTCAGTACAAATACAAAATGGCTGCCTTTAGGCTGTTTCTGCTGGGGCCACAACTGCCTGCGCAGGCTTTAGTGGTCTACACTAATCATGTGACTACTTACCAACAGGTATAAGAAACAGTCCAAAGGCACCCAATTTGTATTTCCCATGATGAAGGGCTGAATGGATTAAACTGTTACAATGACGAAATAGCCATGAGATATTAAAGGCTTTTTAAAACACTACCCTCTTGAGTGCCTCAGATTTCTTCAGTAATCCTTGGAAAATGTTTTCTGACAAAGCCTGGAGTAACTTCTTTGCACCACTTAATTTCAATTCAACAGTAATCAGACAATAAATAGAAATTTACATTTTACACTTACAGTATAGGTCTCAGACACATCAGGACAACAAACTGCAAAAACAGATTCACTGCACTGCAGAACATAAATATTTCCTTTGTCCGCTGACTATATAGTGATTGCTCATTCCCTCCATATTCCCAGTGAGTAATTATCAATGATTGCAATGCAATCAAATTTTTTATTGAGAGGGGAGCTGCATTTTTAGTTAAAATATTCTGTACATCTGCAAGCATTCCCTACTATGAGTTTACATCTAGATTAAATGTTTATCTGATCAATTTCTATGTGGAGTTGCAGATATTCTACAAAATAACCCAGTTTTTGCTTTGCAATTAAACATTTGTAGTCATAAAAAATGTAATTCAAATGCAATTGTCATGTTTTCAGGTCAAATCCAGATTTTTCTCGTACTTCTTGGGCCTAAGAAAACGTCCAGGGACTGTGTTTGGAATTTGTTTGACCTTTGTCACCTTTGCGATTTCACTGACAATCTTCATTTCAACTCTTATATACTGGAAATCTGTGAAAAAATCCCGAATAAAATCTCAGGGCAAGATCAGAAAGATAACAAGGAGGCCTGTGCATTAAATGAAGCTTGCCTTAAGATCATCAGCACAGCAGAACCATTGTGTTTAATCTGTGGTACCAAGAATTTGCAGCAATACATTTTAAAATGATTTTTGTGGTAGAACAAGTCTGTAAAAGAGTACAGGAGCACAATATAAACTGTCCTCTCAACATGTTCCCATGGCTTTTTTCCCATGTTTTGATTTACTACTCACATTATGACACCACAACCAAAATAAACAAATTAGTTCTGGTTTTTCCTTTTCACATGAATTTATATATTCATTCTCAGATGCTGGATGGTCTCAGCTAGTTTCCCAGTCAACCTCTCTGATCTTGTCTTGACAAAATATAAAACAGTAGGACAATGATAATAGAAAATAATAATAGAGTTTTAAATTTTGCACCTCACATCATATTTTTAGCCAAAGGATAAATACATGTAGTACACACACGGGACAATATTTAGAAGTTAATCTTTGTGTGACAGACTATGACTTCAGTCCCATGGATGTGAACTCTCCCTGTGCTCTTTTACAGACCCAACTCAGTGGGGGGCCTTTGGGATCATTTTTGATGCAGAGTAGAAACAAGCCCTTGCATATCCTAGGCATGCTTGCTGGTTTCATTAGCCTCATGGTCATAGTCACAGTCATCATCTCCACTGCAACATTCATGCGCAACAAAAAGTCCAACCGGATCCTGCCTAACCGGCGTGTAAGGAGGAGGCCACGGAAACAGCAGGCCTGGGTCTTCAAAAACCCCTTCAAGAAACCAGAAACCCCCGGAGAGAAATTTAAAATAGAAGAAGTCAGAGAAGAGGAAGAGCGGGAGATAGAAGTCATTGTGGAGAATGTTAACTATAACAACAATGTCACCAATGTTGTGAGACACTGGCCCCTGCCACCTTCTGCTCCATCTCTGCCCCCTCCACCACCACCCTACATCCCAGGAGAGAGGCAGTGGGCAGTACCCACAGTCTCAGCAACAGTGGCACCCAGACCTAAAAAGAAGGTGATAACCAGACAGGACACTGTGAACAAAGCACTGGTTTCAGAGCTCAAGATGCGACTAGAGCAGAAGAAGTTGATGAAACATTAATCGTGACAAAAAAATCTCACCTCAAGATCCATTTAGTAGCTTTCGTGCAGCAGATCCGGTCTGCCCAGTTGTCATGGAAAAGAAGCCGTTCAAATTTCAATTTTTTCACAGAACTTTAAGGTCTTCTCATGTTGCCATATAGACAAATGGACTTTTTGAATTTTCGATTTTTGGAACAGATTAAAAACATTGCACATCTGTTACATGAGACAGGTACATAGGAGAGTTTGCCAAGTGAATGTCTAGCTCTAAAAACATTGCCAATAAATGTATTAATGCAAGTTAGACAGTGTGCAGGAGTTTATTTGGAACAAAAAAAAATATTTTGAACATTCACATATCAAATGAGCAGACTTAATTTGAAGATGATGAAGATCATGTGATATGATCAAAAGCTCCAGAATACCACTACCAAGAACGCAACTAAATGGACCTTGAGGCGAGGGTGTTTTCTGATGTTTCTGAGGTCAAGAATGAACTTTGAAACTTAATCATTAACAGTGTTTGTGGTGTGTGTGTGTGTGTGTGTGTGTGGTGTGTGTGTGTGCGTTGTGTGTGTGTGTTTTCAGAAAGATTAAATACACTGAAATGGGTAACATTTTAATTCTTTGTGGATTAATAATGTAATTTTCATGTGATGGTCATGTCTTCCTGTCATGTGTATCATTCAGCTTTAATTCACGATTCATTGATTCTTTCTCTTCAAGTTTCTTTTTTATATTCTTTGTATCAGTATTAAACAAATAACAAGTACACAACCAAACAAATCCCCAACCAACACACAATCAACCCTCCCCGACATCCTCTTTTGGTTCCAAAAAAGAGAAAGAAATTTTAAGACAATTACTCAAATAGATATTATACAGTACACCTTCGGTAAATCTCATTTAAGTTTCTGTCATTTTGTCAAATAAATCCCACCTTTTGAACCATTTGTTGACATACTAGTAGCTTAAAGTTCCTCAACCCAGATCCCTTGTCGGGAATGAAGTCATTCAGATTTCAACAAGCAACAACAAAACTGTTTATTTGGGATCCAACCAAGCTCCTTACAAGAGATTTCATGACACTTGAACTGACTAAAGAGATCAGCCAGAGGGAAGAGAACCAAAGGGATCACGTTAGGAAGATCTTTAGTCCTACTGCGCAGGTGTAAAGGACTGTTTAGAGTCCTGTTTCGCAACAGTCACGATATGTTTATGTTCTCCTTTAAAGGACTGTTTTTCATTTCTTTACTACTGTACATGCAGTGGTTTGTCTGTTTCAACTGGTGTCTGTTGCTATTGAATCACATGTCAGGATTTTACTACTAATAAAAGAACACATTTGTAATTTCAGTAGTGGTGGGAGGAAGTATTTACATCAATACCGGACTTTGAAAATACTCCCTTACAAGTACTCCATCACAAGAGTCTTGGATTCTATTTTTAGTACAGAAGTGTCATCAACAAAAATACTCATTACATGTAAAGTGGCTCCTGTCAGTGTTATATATTATCACATTATATATTTACTGATTGCATTAACAGGTTTAATCTATAACAGTGCATCTTTAATAGGATGTCAGTTTTACATGAATATGTAGTTGGATTATTGACAACCAGGAGGGAAGTTCTGCCCTTTGAAACTTATTTTAGATTTTAACTCGCTCTCATCATCAATCTCATCACAACAAGCAACAACCATTCAGGATCAGAACATACTGAGTTCAGGACACTCAGACAATTAGACTGTAGCCCTGGCGGCATTGTTAAACACACAGAGAGACCGCTTTGTTTCCATTAGCTTAAGGCCAACACCACCTTAATGAGCCTGAAAATATTCATATTCCCCTTTTGGAAAAGCTGCTTAACCATTGCCCTCAGGTGGAAGACAAAGGGAGTTAGTGTTCTCAGATCCTCAAACAAAATGAAAAGTGAAGCTTTTATGTCCTTAAAGGACATATTGTTGAATCACATTGACTGACAAAGCATGTGTTAAGCTATTGGAAAACAAAAGCAATATGAACAAAGCAGTGTATTCAAACACTGAATAATATATAATATATATAATATAATAGTCATGTAGAACAACAGGAAAAAATATGGGAGAATGAGATGTATGAAGACAGCCTTACACAACAATATTACATTTGCTGTTGTTTTTAGTAAAACCTCACCAGATGTTGTGCAGATATGTAATATTTTATCCTGATACAAGCCCTTTTGCTCTCCTTAGCTCTAATATCAACCTGAGCGCTATCAATTATGAAGTTACACTGAACCACTCACTGGGTATTTGTGTAGACATTATGGCCAAACATGCACACTATTTCAAAGTTACATAAAACATGAAATTTGCAGATTACACCCTCTAATCCAAGGACCAATTTGTTCATCTTTGTGCAATATTGCATCCTTGGCTAAAAACCAAAAGTCCATCTGCCCTGATCTAGTTTTGACCAACAAGATGTGTGTGACTGACATCGAACTTTCTGCAGCCTCAGCTGGCACATTTTACGTGGTTATGATGACGCAGTGCAGACTCTGGGGATTATTTTTTTTGCTCATACATATGTGAATGTATGATGTGCTGCTTTTTCAGGCCAGCACAATCCCAAAGATCCTTGAGGAACCAAACCCAGATTTTAGGTCAAAATCGTCACACACATAAACACAAAAACTTTTCAGTGTTGCAAGCTGTTAATGCTCTGAAATGAAATGAGGGAATATGAGGAGCAGCCCAAATGATCATGCATTATGCCATGTAAGAGGCAGCGAGGATTACTGGGCTATTTGATAGAGGATTACAGAGTTAAAAGTTGCAAAGAGCATTGATGCTTTAGAATGAAAGAAAGCTATGCACAGGGTTCAGAAACCCTGCTAAGTGTGTGAAGCAACAGAGGTTTTAAAAGGTAAATTAAATATTTGCTTTTCTGAATAATAAAAACTAATAAAGAAAGCATTATGTGTGCATGGTTAACTCTGAACACTGAAATCGGTAAAAAAAAAAAAATGTTTACAGACTTCACTTTGTCTTATGTTGTACACTGTGGGTAAGGATTACAACAAATAGCAGCATCAACCCCGCATCCTCAAATCATATAAAAACTTCTAAATAAGCAAGAAAGCAGATGTGTCTGTGCTCCAGAGAATGAGAGCTCCCAATCTCAACCAATCGTTTAAAACCCGGATCTTAAGTCAATAGAAGTGGGCCCCAGCAGAGATGAACTGATCTCCTTGCAGGAAACAACACATGGAGATGGAGGAGGGGGCTTGTGTGATCTGATCATAAAGTGACGGTAGGAGGGGATATTGAAGAAAAAAGCCAGTGTTTGGGTATTATTTCAAATGAACAATGCCATTGGCCGAGGCATATCCGATGGGCCATCTGTCTAGGCTGGAAAGCACAGATCATGTGTGACGCATGGCTGCTGTGTGATGTGTTCGCAGCAGTGGGAGACAAGGAACTGTGACGTACATGTACAGCGAGCAGCAGAGAGGATTAGACATATGTTAACAACATAACTTTACCGTTCACACTTCCTTGTTGAGCTGCAGTGGAAGGACAATAACAAAAAGAGTAATGCTGTACTAAAACATTTTGCAAAAAATCCACTTGATTTCAAACAGCTGCAGCATCATATAAGTTTTATAATGCTTGGAATAATGATTGATGAATGATAATAGTAACAATGATTGTGAATTTTGTCTCCTATCACACTGGAAAAACTTTAGGGCCAATATGAATAGGATACATTATTACAGGAAGCAAAACCTGTTTCAGTGTTCATATGGGCATCTGACTGTTGATTTTTAAGACAGACATTGAGAACCCTTCATTCATCCTTTGTCATTTACTTGATGTGATGTGAATATTTTACCAATAAATAGTCAAATATTCACATAAAATACAGTTTAATAAATCAGTTAAATTTTAGTATGTGTTATCTGGTAACAGAACAACATAAAAGAGACAAGAAATTGGGCACTCGGTAGAGCTGGCGACCCACGTATTGAGGCTGAGTCCTTGCTGCAGCGGCCCGGGGTTCGAATCCGACCTGCAGCCCTTTGCTGCGTGTCACCCGCTCTCTCTGCCCCCTTTCCTGTCTTCTCTCCAGCTGTCCACCTACATAAAGGCAATAAAAAAAAGTCCCAAAAAAATAAAAGAGACAAGAAATTAAGGTTTCGTCCCTCATAATGCTGCTTCAAAAGAACTATGCCAAGGACAAATGTCACATAACACAAGGTATGACCACACACACACATACAGACACACATTCATGCGCAATTTAATTTAAAATGAAAAGCTTTAATTGAAGGATTTCATAATGTGTATACCTTCTTGCACTTTTAAAGATCAATAAAAAAAACTAAACATATAGTAGCAGACTTTACACTAGTTTAATTTCATCAAACTAAATTTAATCTAGACATTGTCTAGTGACACTGTGTACGATCACTTAACTATTTAACAGAATCACCATCTGATTTAAGGGATTTTATTGTTCCAGACCCGGAATTATTACAGTGACAGTAAAAATATGTGAACCAAAAAGGTCCCCAAAAGGACATTAGTCTGATAAATACATAAATACATGTATAAATAAATAAAACAATAATAAAAGTGCTAACACAGAATCACATAAAGATAAAGCAGACGATAAAGGAAGCACCCACTACTGAGACACATTTTAAAAATGGACTCTCCAGCAGTAATTTTGAGCACTCCTCCATTTAAATAAATCACAAAGGCTTCATTTCAAGCAGCAAGTCAAAAAATTTGATTATTGACATTTAAATACATCATGATAGCAAGACAAACATGTCATATTTCAGACAGAAACAAACTGCACAACCTCACATGTGAAAATCCTTGAATTACACTCTTGACATAACGGTCATCATTCACATGTTTGCAACAACCTCCTCGGCCTAGAACAGAGGAAGAGATAATATTAAAACCAAGGCAGATCATTGTCATTCTTCTAAATATTGTATTTATGTGAGTATCACAGTCAGCATCTTACAGCAGATCTATTTTTATTCTATTTTTCAAAATGAGCTGATACAGGGTGCCTATTACACGATCAGTTTCATGTTTACTCTTGTTTTAACAAATAATATATATATATATATATTATATATAGTATAAATATACAGTAATTTAATATAGTTCAGCTGTCTGTCTGCTATGATCAGCTTTGCTCTTATGCAGTCTGTCATCTGACCTCCTCCTCACCTTCCTGTCTTCCCTGGAATTTTTATTAACCAGGCCCTCGTCGCTGGCGGCCTGCAGGCTGTCGAAGGTGCCTTGCCTCTCCCGTTCCATCCCCGACGAGCTGCTTTCTCTCCGTCGGTTCTTCCAGGACTCCATGATACCCTCCAAGCAGGCAAACTTACTGTCAGTGGTGCAGGCATACATACCTATAGGCACAGCAAGCACCATGGCTAAAACTATCACCACTATATGGATCAGCTTCTCCCTCTGTTCCATCTCAGTAACATCACTTCCTGTTACAAACACAATGCACTGTCCAGGACGTGGGGCCTCGTTCTTAAGGGTCACACAGATTTCATATTTGGTAGCAGGCATCAGGTCAGAGACGGAGTAAGAGTGAATCCCAGGGCCGATGTAGATCATTTCTTTCTTATCGGAATCTGCACGGCCAAAGTGGATGGTGAACCAAGTTTCAGATGGGCGGTCCAAGGTGGCGTACCACTCAATAGAGATGCCGCGTACTGTCTGTTTGGCGATGCGGATGTCAATGTAGACATTTTCATTAACAGGAACAGGTGGAGCCGGGAGTAATGGCTGGGAGCCGCCAGGAGAGCGGACATCCAGGAAGATGTTGACAGAGGAGTTTCCTATAAAGTTGATGGCAGAGCAAGTGTAGACACCACGGTCAGCTGCATGGAGGGAGGGGATGACCAGGAGGGATCTGATGGTGTCTTCGTCCACTCTTTCCTGAGACTCTGGGGGAAAACCAGGGATATAGTGTTATTTTAAGGGACATGCAGGCTTAGACAATAAAACTCACTTCATTACCTTAAGACATTTTTCCACATTTCACAGAGTTGAACACACATTATTTCATCAAATACAGGTAATGTAGCCACATTTTCCTATTAAAGAGAAAGGCTGAACAAAAATATGACCACTACACACATACACAGACAAACGAAAAATACTGGCACAGACATATACTAGACAGTTTTAAGATATAAATTGTAGGGCTACAACTTACATTTATTTTAATTATTAATTAATTAGCCAAATATCTTCTCAGTTATTCAAATAATCATCTGATCCCTGTCAGAAAATAGACAATAATGCCCATCACAATTTGTGTAAATCTAACCTAACCTAACCTAACCTAAAGGCTAAAGGTATTTCATTTATTATATTATCAGCAAATCCTCCCAACTGAAATTTTGAAATTAGAAAATGGCAGATTTCCTAAATCTGGTTTGGGGGATTATCCTAAAGTATCTTGAAGTGTAAGGACATTGTAACATGTTCATTTTTGGGACATAGTTATGTGGCCCATGTATATGCATATAACAAGCAAAGCACAGAACTAAAATGTGTGTTTACTTACTGATGTAGTTAATTTATTATTGATGTAATTTTTACATAGAAAAGAAGGTTAGAAAGGTTGTTCTCATAAACTTTAACTATCTAACAAAGATAGTGTGCGGTACAAACAATATCAGTCAGGTCCACATGGAATAAATAAAGTGGGAACAATAAAGCTGTGTGTTTAAATTACTCAAATCAAGTACTTTGGTACCATCTGCAAAAGGTTTATGAGTTGTAACTAATGCTTTATTTTTTGTTTATTAATTTACTTCTTGTAAATTAAAGACATAAATAAAGAGGAATTCAATTGAATGTTTTATAGAACAGTTATATGCCATTTATAAGAAATAAAAATCATGTAGCTCTGAAATTCAACAGGAAGACGCTCTGATGGACCATTTGACTTAAAATCTTCTGGAGAACAATTGCAGAACAGTGGTGGACAAAAATAAATAAAAAGGACAGAAAGTTGTGATGCATTTATGATGAAACAGCTTATTAGGTTTAGGATTAGCACCCTAATGTTTTATCTACCATAGGGGCATCCAAGAGGGCACTTTTGCCCCCCTTAGTCCACCAGTGCTGCAGACTGTCCAGAACAAAATGCATTTATTATTAAACTATTCATATTTAAAATAGCAGACTTTAAAGATTACTTAACGAATCCTTTAGTAAATGAAAATGACTGACTAGCTTTTGCATTTGGGTTATTAGACAGTGAGTATTCCTTATGTCACTGAGAGCTGATTTCTTATTAGCAATTAAGACTCATTGCTCTTTAATAATAATTTTATGAATCACATGAGGGAGATTTTCAACCAAAACGTTTTTCTTATCAATGGCTTACAACTGAACTACAAACATCATTTCAGTATAAAGCCATAAGATTATTGATCCCAAGCTGGGAAATTGCAGATTGCATAATATAGCCATTATGAAGGGTGCCTTTATAAAGTGATTATTTTCATGACTGTTTTCACTTCTACTAGTATAGTATAGATGTATATATAGCTTACTTTTACTTGGGTTACAGCAACTCTGGTTCCTACCCAATATATTGACAGCTTACTGTTAGCAGCAGAAGTGGTGTTAGTGATAGCAGTAGATGCACTATTGGGAGAAGCAGCAGCCTGGTTGCTTTTAGTTTATGATGGACTGGTTACATGCAGTCATTCTGTAGTAAGGGCTCTCTCTCTCACACACTCTGAAGGTTAAGTCTAATGACGCAGATGTTTATTTAATTACACAGTAGCCCAACACGGTTGACATTAGGTAGGCTGGCCCACACTATAATCTCCAACTCTCTTAATCAACACTGATGGTGTTGTGCAGATTGGAGAGCATCAGTGGCGATTATATCGCGGTGGGCCAGATTTAACTCACCTCATCTTAAAGAGGGCTTATAGGAGTCCGCGATTAAAATGTGTGTTTAAGTATCTAATTTAACACCAAGATATCACTCAAGCTGGGTGTGCGAATGACATGCTGCGGACATCACACTCTTACCATGAAATCCTCTGATTATCTTCAGACCATATGTCCACCACACTGCGGGGTCTGGCCTGGCCTTGGCGAGGCAGCGCAGGGTGAGGTTTGCGCCCTGGGGCAGGCTGATGTTGGAGGACAGGGTAGTGACCACGGGCTTCACGCACGCCTGCAGCTCTACCTCGTGGAAGAACTTGCCCGCCCTAAAGTCCGGCCCTGAGCAGGTCAAGTAAGAGTTCATCAGTATAATCGGAGGACTTAGAGACTTGATGAACTCCACGAAGCCCTTCAGGCGACAGTCGCAGAGCCAGTCGTTGTCGTGGAGCGCCAGGACGACGTTCGGCCCGAAAGCGGTCGCCTCCCGTTCCTCCGCGCTCTGCAGTTTTTGGTATAGAGGCCAGTTTTGGAAAACCTCCTTCGATATGACCGTAAGCCGATTGAAGGATAAGTCTAAGTAAGTCAGACCTGGCAAAAATTTTAACGCATGCTCCGGCAGGACGTCCAGCTGATTGTGCTTCAGGTCCAGGATCTTTAGGGCCGGCGTGTCCTCGAACGCTGTCCATGGTACTGAACTCAGCTTGTTCCCTTGCAGACGGAGCTCGGTTAAATTCCCCAAACCCTCCAGACCTTTTGAGTTTATCACTGTGATATCATTGAAGTTCAGCCATAAATTCTCCAAGACGGGCGTCTGTGAGAATGCCCCTCTGGGGATTTCAGTGAAGTGAGATTTTTCTATGCGTATTTTGGTCATATCATCTGGAAGGTCCTGTGGTATGGCCCCAAACGCACTCTCCTCCATACATACCAGCGACCTATGATTAAAGGGACATGTTTAATGCAATATAAGCTATACAGTATTCATATATCAATTGTCTTACTTTAATGTATCTACCGTCACCCATTGACACAGTTAGAAAGGCTTAAAATACCTCTGCCTTGGTAAAGGTCGGACTACGTGAAATCAGCTCTTACCTTCCATGACGGTCTTCTACACAGCTGCACCCGCGTAAACATTGAGAAAAAGGTTCATACCCCTGAATGTTAACCAAAACTATAACTAGCAGGTAACAAATTATGTCCATAGTCCGAGAAAATTCCCAAAGTTGAGGGCTACATTCGTGCTCAAGACATGTCGAGTGCGGCAGACAAGAGAAGCCTATTAAGCTTAATCCCTGACGTACCGCGAGCAAGTGGCGTCTAATTCTTGGGAAAGACACGCATGAGTCTGACCCACAGGTCGGTGGCACCTGAAGTTATTATAGGTCACTTATAAACCTTTAATAGGAACACGTTTTGGGTTGCCAGTTGAGAAAAATCCCCCTTACTGGCATTAATAATGCAGTTATAATAGTTGGCAAGCCGTTAATAAGTACGTTGGAGTTCCACACTGTCTAATAAGCCATAATATCCGTAGTTATTTAAGTTAATAATAAGTTGATAATAAATGTAATTTAATTAAAAGTCAAGACTCTTGTGCTCCATAGAGGATTTTGTTGATGAATTAAAGAGATAAAAAAAAAAGAATTATCTTGCTGAACGAAAAAAAAACCCTTCACAATCTGTCAACCCTAAGTTGTTTATATTAGTGGGCTTATAACTGATTAGTAAATTATTTATTAAGCTAAATTAAGCCATTTCAACTTCTAAACCCTTTATAAAGGGTGACCTATCATAAAGTGGTACCTTTCAGTCTTAGACAGACACTGAGTCACCCTTTTTAAATCTGCCTTCTGTATGGAAACCCAGTCTGAATTTTGATTAATATGGTGATGTGAAAGTAGAAATATAAGAACACACAGTACCGCTAACTGGATATGTATATATAAAAGTTTATTCAACTATTTTCAAATAATATCATTGGAATTAATAGATCTACATTTAATGGGGTAATGATGCCTCTAGGTGGCACAAAACAGATACATAGAGATCATAGTATGTGTCTCATTGCTGGGAATAAAAATCATTTAACATTTTGCATCATTTCCACCCTATTTACATAGTTTCAAGTGTCATAGTTCAGTCCTTTCTGTACTTCTCTCCAGCTCCAGCTTTTCTCCATCCAGAGTGTTGAACCATGCCAATGTGTATATCTTCTCTGAGAACATATGACAGATATATACAGAGGCACAGACTTAACTGTATATGTAAGTGTAAATCATCTAGTAAGTATATACAAATCATACACATACATATATGATATAAACAATAGTATAGTATCAACCGTTGAGTTCCCTTTAAGTCAGATCAGGTTACAGAGGTTTATTCGCTGGGCCATGCAAGTGAGATGAAATATAAATTACAATGATTGTGATGCTCTTTCAGCCTTTGACATGTTTTCTCTTACAGGCTTAGTGATAAAAACATTCTTTTAGACACGAAAGCATGAGTTTGTTTAAATGTTGTCTCACTATTAATGCATGGCTAAATGTATGACAGTCCAGTGAGTTTTTCTCTATCTGCAGGAAACATGATAAATTCTACACATATCTGGAAAAAAACAAGTTAATTAAAATGTTAAATATTCTCTAAACTGATATTTCCATTATAGTGCAGCGTGCAAAAGTCCTTTGATAGAAGTTGGCTCTCTGTGGCGGTGGAGTTGGTGGCGTGATCCAGCGAGGAGGGACAGGTGGGGGGGAATCCCATGGTGTGGGTGTATGGGAGCGTGTGGGAGGGGGGCTGACATCAGGATGCTGTTGAGGGTGAGAGTACGGGTAGTGATGGGGATATGGATGTGGGTGGGAATGGGGATGGGGGTGGTGATGGTGATGATGATGATGATGGGGATGTGAATGGGTATTGGGGTTCGGACTGGGGCGCGGATGCGGGTGAGTTCGAGGGAGATAGCATGGAGCAGGAGCCGGAGCTGGAGCATGATGTCAGCAGAAGTACTCATTAGGCTGTCCCTCTATCTTAGCTGTGGCCTCAGAGTCCAGGCTGGAGCGGGCTGACAGCAACCTGTTGGACTCCTCTGGGTTCAGCCTGTTCAAATACTCTCCCTCGAGCCCTTTGGCCTTCGTGGCAGGGGACAGTGTTTCAAATGTCACATATGAATCTTGAATGTCCTTTGATTTCTTTCCCCAGTACTTCTGAATGCGTCTCTTCAGCGCCCCACAGCACACGATGACAGTTAGCGGGACCGCGATGATACAGGCCACTGTGATCACAATCACATTAATCAGCCTCTGGGTGCCAGTGGCACTGGCTGCTTCATCAGTGGAAAATATGACACACTGCTCCTTCTTGGGGATCAGTCCCCTCACACACACACAGGCAATGTACTTTGTCCTAGGCACCAGCCCATCGATGGTTACACGGTTCTGCCCCGCCCCAACATTGATCTTCCTCATGTCCCTTTCTCCAAACACAGCATACAGTACACTAAATGCTGTTGTGTTCTTGGCTTTAGGAGCCCTCCAGTTCAGAGAAATCGTATTGTCTGTGTCTCCCACCACCTTTACTGAGCGGACCACCCTGTCTGGGTCCTGCTGCAGTGATGAGGTGTTGGCCGCCAGGTTGCTTAGATTAGTCTTCTCCAGATACAGCAGCGCATCTGGGTTGGAGGAGGTGGCAGGCCCTGGGGTGGCTCTGTCAGCCAGGCTGTAACTGACTAGTCCAGGATCAGGACCAAGACCAGGTGGGAGGCCTGGATCCAGGGCAGGCATGGATGAAGGGGTGGAGGTTGGAACCACATACCTGGCCACCAGTTTCTCCTGGTAGGCCGCTTTGCCCATCTGGTTGGGTTTCTTGACTTTGGCTTTCTTGTCGTTGCTGGTTTGGTTCCCCTCTGGTTTTGGTGAATTAGAGACAAGGAGGGAAATGACAGCTTCAGCATTCCCCGCATAGTTACTGGCCTTGCAGATGTATTTCCCTGAATCACGGTAGGACACAGCTGGGACACTAAGGATGGACCAGGTGATTCCCTCCTTCGAGGTTTCCTGCTGAACTGTGGTGGGAGAGAGGGGAGAATATGGTCATTAGACAATGGTTACAAAAGGACAACAGACTTTAAATATGATGTGGCATCTGAAAAATATGCCCTTTCATAAATGCACAAAGAGACACCAAGCAGGTGATTATACACTGTTATCATCAGTGTTGCATAACTCACTGTTGTAGCAGCTGTCAGTCAGATTTACAACCCTACAACTATCTCCACTGGTAGCTTTCCATTTAATTAACAGAGCATCTTATCTCAGGCACAATACAGAGAATTACCCTGACATTCAAAGATCTGCTGACTCACCTGTTCCATTAAGGAGTCGTCCGTCTGCCCTGCGCCACGTCAGGTCTGGGATAGGGACTCCAATGGTACCACAGCGAAGCAGCACATTGTTCCCAACCGCGCTACGGACTCGTGCCACAGCTGTATGGATACGTGGGAGCTGACAGCGTCGCAGCTCTGCGTCACTAAACAAGACTCCTGAGACACTCTCCGGAGCTGAACACCGGAGCCTTGTGTCAATGAACGCCACTGAAAGGGTCGGAAACTTCTGAAACTGGACCAGGTCGTAGAGCCGACAGTCACACACCCAGGGGTTGTCATGGAGACCTGAGGGTGAGGGTACAAGTGAGGCTACAGGAGAAAGATGAGCATCCAGCTGTGTGAAAAAAGTGATAGACCAGCCTGCAGATGGCTGGTGTGGATGTTAGGATGTTAATCCTGTAAGAGGATTAACATTTAATTCATAAACTACATCAGGACCATGACTACGGCAATGATGGTGGTAGTGATGATGATGATGATGATGATGATGATGGCGGTGGTGGTGGTGGTGGTGATGGTGGTAGTGGTGGTGGTCTAGTGATCCAGGTCAGGTTTTGCTGTCATTTCACCCTCCTGTCCTTGAACCTGGAACAGCTGCCCACTGTTCTGAGTATGACAGTGGGTTAAACACAGAAAGTGAGCCAGTGGAAAATTAACTTTTATGACGTGCTGCAACACTGCTTATGCAGTTGGTCTAAATTTAAAGGCAAAAAAAACTATTTTTTTCAACCACCTCGTTGTCTCTAAAGGGTGACTAAAGGCACATACATACATATTAATAAAAACTTATAGTTTATAAGCACGATATACAAATTTAATAAATGTTTTATAAGACACTGTAAGTTGTTAGCAGATATAAGGACATTTTAAGTGTTCATAAATGGACAGTATTTGTCTACAGTTATGACTACAATCATTGACCAGTATTTTAATTACATCTATCAGATGCCATGTTGCTTAGCAATTGTGTTGTCCTGCTGCTATTCAAGAATGTTTCTTTGGGCAAATGTATTAACACACTCTCCTTTACGCACTGTGTTTAGCGGCCCGCTTTAAGTATTTTAAATTTGTTGGTTTTGTGAGAGAAGGTTGGCCGTCAGGAGGCGCACTCTCCCTTACCAAGTATCATTTTGGAGCTCTCTGGCCCTTGCACAGGCTTTGCGGCCAGCCAAGTGGACAGCACCTCTGCCGGCAGGGTCAGCAGGCTGTTGCTGGACAGATCCAGGTAGGTGAGGTTCCTGATGTAAGTGGTGGCCTCCGCTGGCAGCGAGGTGAGCTGGTTGTTGTGCAAATCGAGAAGTCTGAGGCTGGGCATATCCATGAGGGATTCCCAGGGAAAGGCGGTGAGGGCATTCCCGTCCAGACGAAGCTCTTCCAGATTGAACAGTCCCCGGAAACTATCTGGGTTCAAGGCGGACAGCGTGTTGAAAGACATCCACAGGAATTCCAGACTGGAGAGGTAGTTGAAGGCTTCGCTTGGTATCCGCTGGATCGCTGTCTTCTCAATCCGCAGCTTGGACGTGTCAACAGGGAACCCAACAGGCACAAGAGATATCTCGGGATCATTGCAAATCACGCTCCTAAAAGAGAGACATCATGAATTAATTTATGTTCACCTCTAAATCATCCTTCACAAATTACGCATTTAAAGATTTTTTTTACAATGTAACAAAGTGAATAAAAAAAATATTATTTAAATTATTATCATTATTAAAGACAAGATTAAATCATGTTTTGACGTCCAGAGGACAGACAAATGTGTATAATAAGTTCACAAGCAGCAAAAATGCCGGGTTACTTATATTAAATATATTTATCTACCAATCCATCCAAACTCGCATAAAACGCATAGATGGGGGTTGAAAGTGCCTTTGAGAGATAATCCTGCATTAAATAAAATTGGACCGACATGCACTCCCTGAATTATCTTTTGTACACGTGTTCACCTCTATGCAAACATCTGTCCTATGAGGACAAGACCAGTCCATCTAAAAAGATGCGCCTGTGCTCACAAACCACACATTTTTTAAAATAGAAAATCATTTTCATTTGGACATCCTTACCTGGCCTTTGATCCATCACTCAGGTTGTGGTAAAAACAGCTGCACTGCGACGGGCAGGAGCTCACTGGGGAGACAAGTTCACCTGTGGCCACGTAGAGCCCCAGGAGCAGGACGAGGAACATTTTGGCCCACTTTTACGCATACGCTGCTTGCCTACATGCGCCCAGTTTGCGCCCACTGAAGTCAAACAGGCTTGCTTTTTTCTCTCATTTACATGAATATCATCCGCATGGCTTTGTCCCACCGCTTCGCTGTCCCATAGTGATCCGACTGCTATGAGTCCCGAGATAAAAAGGATAGACAAGGATTAGCGAAAGGACTGGCGTTCTTTTCATTTGGATGCGTATTGCATCCTGGAATCCGATAGGCTGCGCAGAGACGTCCCTATTTATTATCACAGAAAAACACTTCCGAAATGGTCATAATCCACTGTGATGTTTGGATTTTTTTCTTTCCCTCAAATGTAGCTTGTTCATTTGAGCCTTGCCGTGACTGTTAATCTGTAAATGGACAACACTATGTTTTACCACAAGGTGGCCCCTATATCATAGTCTGTGGCTCTCACCTTCGGGCCTGTCCACTCAACTGATGTTCAGTTCACTTTTCTTTTTTTTCTTTTCTTTTTTTCATTTAAAGAACTTTTAACTTTACACTTTTAATATTATTATCCCATTCACATTCAACACCACATAGCAGATATAGAGACTTTGATTTAAAGAAATAATGTTTCTATTTTAAGAGAAACCATATTTTGTAAATGCAAAATAAGAGAAAAGAAAATGACCCTGTTGGTGGGGCCTTAAGCACTGAGGAGAAACAGTGAATTAAATCATTTCACTACACAATATCTCATCAGAGAACCTAAAAATCCAATTCTTGCTCAACAGTCACCAGACTACATATCAGATATACTTCTGATTCCCTCTTTTGGCACTTGCATCTCATTTCATCTATGTGCAAGCACAACAATAACAGACTATTCATCAGCAGGAAACAAAGTAGTATTTTCTAAACCAACATAATTAGTCAGAATTACTCACAATGGCCTTTAGATTTCACCTCAGTAATTACCACTACTATGGGAAAGCCTTTCGTTTTGCAATGTATACTACATACGGCACGAGTTCATTGTGTCCCCCTTGTATTTCATAACAGTGGAAGGTCAGTGTTACACTTGGCTGGTACTGCTAAGTGTGCAGAGTCAAGACAACAACATAAACCCTCTTTACATCTGACCCATATGCATCCATAACCACAGAGCCTGGTAAAAGCTTTAGTACACCACAAGAAGTTTAACAGAGATTAATTAATTTGATTGATTAATAATATAATAACTGATTAATATCTGCAGTCTCTCTCTCTATAGCTCCTATGTATGTGTGCACATACTGATATATTAAAAGTCTTCCATCCTGAGTATTGGGCCCTGTTTATTTTTGTTTTATTGCATGCTTTAACATGGATTGAAAGCCCTTTGAGTCACAGGTCTTTCAGTCTGTGGTCTGTGCTGAGGCTCTAAACATGTTGAGTATGTTTCCCTGTGCTGAAAACATTAAACATTCCATATTGCCCTGCAAGTACTTAGTCTCTTTTACTGAAGCCAATAAAGCTGTCCTTTCAGATTGTATGAACTAGAAGACTGGACTTTATTTAAGGTGCTTTGACATTCTTAGTGTGCAAAAAGTCTCATAAGAAAAGATATACTGAAGTAACATTAAATAAAATAGGGCTTTGCAGTGTTTGCTGTATCATATTTCTTTAGTTGCCAAATGCTTAGTGCTCATTGCTCAACCACTTTCAGCAGAAAAAGTCATCATAAAAGTCCAGATATTATTAGTATTGTATTTGTGTCAGCATCTCTTTACACTTCTGAGATAAATTTTTCCTCATTTAATCTGAAATATAATCAATTTGTTAAAGCAGGTTTAACAAGCTTGTCGAGCATGACCATTTCACACCTAAACTCTTGTCAACCAGGGACACAGGGATTTGTTTAGAGTTTCAACATCATGAGACAGATCAAAGAATTTCAGCCGACTGTCACAGTGTCACCATGTTCATACATAATCCCACAGTTTAGTGGTTAGTTTTCTTATAGGTACCAGATAAACAGGTTCTTAAATGACAACTCAGAATTACGGTATCCATTTGTTTTTTGTAGGATTGAGTCCTAAAATAAAAAATATCTATATTGGATCATGACTAGTTTATCCATATGATTTAACGCTTTACTCGGTGTCACCTATAAATCACAAGGTTCCTGATCTTATAATCCTGAGGGTGAAACAGACTTCAGCCACACAATGTCATGCTTGTGTCCCCTCTTAACCCTATGGCATGAAAAGCTGCAAATAAAACATGACGAATCCATCACAGGCTGGGGCTGATGGCTGGATTTCATGTAATTTACAAACTTGTTGATCAGCTAAAGTGGAACTGGAACACAGATATTTATTGTACACTGCAGTTTTCCCTTTTAAACACAGGAAATTGCGAACTGAATCAAGCCTTTGTTGACACATGTTGTGTCTGCAGCTCCAAAAGTGCAATTTTATTTTATCCTCTATCATTTCAGGCAGATGCCACAGTTGGTTTAATCTCTTGAGCTCAGTGTGTCTACATCAAAAGTTTTATTCCCTGGGAAATGACAACAAAACAAACACTAACCTGTCCAGCTTCACATCCCATAATCGAAACAAATCCCTGCCATATGGGACAAATGATTAATGACACTACAGATCAACATTACTCACATGGATCCTCTGTAGTGTCAATAACCAGTGGACGGTCGGGGTTAATGAATTGAAATACAACGCATACATTTTTACTTTAAGATTAACAACTGCCAACTGACATTTATGTGCACACAGGAGGATGTAAGTCTGGAAATAATGAATCTCTATCCTTATCTTTCCAGTGCACAAAGAAGCATGCACCACATGTTTTTCTCATTTATTCACGTGTAGATTTTAACACTGTAGCTTCTGGATGGACTCAAACTCTCATACACATCGGCAAAAACATGTAACTCTAATAATAATTGGATTCTTTCTTCTGTCGGTGGTTCCGATTGGCAGGAAGCTGAAGCTCTCCCTGTCTGAAGACACCTGTTGTGTCTCCTTAAAGCGGCGCAGGGGCTGTGGGCTGCATCGTCTCGTCGTTTGACATCAGCAGCGGCTGCATCCTCACCGGGGCGCAGAGACACAAAGGCTTGTTGTGTAACTAATTGAGGACTTTACTGGTGCGGTGTGCAAATACGCATTAAGGATTGTGTTTGTGTGGTTATGTTCATTAAGACATTCCTGCACGGATTGGAGCAACAGAGAGAGGGGCGGCTTTACATAATAAAGTGCATGTTTTTCACGTGAAATGCCCCTTTAAAAGCGGGCTCCCTTAGGTCACACTGAGTCACATCGTAAAGGATCGGATAGAGAGGAGTGAAAAGTCTGTGACAGGCAGCTGCACTTCGTTGGTGTCAAATCGGCTTCAGGATGGTCTCGTCGTACCCTTTACCGGAGGGCTTCTCCGAGTTTGATGTGTTCTCCCTGGGATCCTGTCTGCTGGTGGAGGGTGAGTGTTTTTATTTTTTGTCCTGGAATTCAGCCAAGATGCTGCGAGGCTGCGAGGGTTGCACTCGCTGCGTAACATTAACCTATGACAGGACCTGGCGCCACCCGGTCACTGACACTGGCTATAATAATATTATGGGAGGAAGGAGCTGCAGCTTCCTCTTTAAACTCGCAAAATAACCCTCGCTTGTGGTCTTTAAACGAAGAAATGACTGCGATGTTTGAAACGATGTTTACTCTCCTCTTGAAATGTGCTGCAATAAGCATCGCTGTGCGCCCTGGTGATTCTCATCCATCGCCGCATACTGCCCTCATTTGTGATTCTGTTTTTCTGTTCCACCAAAAGGTCTGCTGGGCTTTTTTTTAAATGCGGTGACAATCGTCTCTTTCCTGAAAGTGAGAGAACTGAGGACCCCCAGCAATTTCCTAGTGTTCAGCTTAGCGATGGCTGATATGGGCATCTCCTCGAACGCCACCATCGCTGCTTTCTCCAGCTTCCTGAGGTAAGTGATGTAACCAACCTCTTTCATAGTGAATGTTAAGGTCTGCTCATATGTGGCCAAGTGGAATCTAATGGGCAAATAATACCAAATCATTCTGGCTACCTGTCGTCCGGGTAAATAATCGACATGGAGCTCTGTCGATAGAAAGAGGAATAATCAAACCTGCAGAGTGGAGGGGGGAGGGGGTCAATGCACTGCTAAAGCCTATGTGCAGTGGATTTTATAAACTGTAATCAGGAGATGGGAGCTGCTGCTCTCAGTGTTCATGAGTCCAGGGATTATATATAATATTAATATTTACTTTTCTATAGGGACATGTTCTGAAACAAATAAATGCTTTAATTGCTTGGAGTCTTTATTTACAGTGTTGTTTGGTCATGAAAATAAGCAGTTTTCTTCATTTTTGCAAGTTCTGTTTAAATTTTATGAACACAACCTCTGTCTCCAGGTATTGGCCTTATGGCTCTGAAGGATGCCAGACTCACGGTTTCCAGGGCTTTGTGACAGCTCTCGCCAGCATCCACTTCGTAGCTGCCATTGCTTGGGACAGATACCACCAGTACTGCACCAGTAAGTTAACACCTGCTTTTGTCTGTGCCCAGAAGGCAATGCGCATAATTACAACCAAATAAATTCTTCTTTCCCTTCCCCACAACGGTCTCACTCTCTCTCTCACACACTCACACTCACACTCACACACACGCACACGCACACACTCACACAC